GCTTTTACCATCATTATCCTTGGAGTCCACTGAACCCTCAAGCATGCCAGCAAGCCCCACAGTGATGACTCTCTTCTCCCAGAGGCCCTGTAATAAGCCTTCCTTAGTTATAGCTGTGAATTATTTTGAGAAACCTGAATTAAAGTGCTAGAGAAAACACAACACACATTTATTGTTCATCTTGGAAAAACAACAGCAATGAGCTTCCAAAACTATCTTTGATTAACATAATCCGGGGGTACTGAATATGGATATTGTTAATAGTCACCTAGAAGCATGTTTTCTTTTGTACATTCTGTTCTCTCCAGTAAATTTCCTACCAAGAAAGGAAATGCCCCCAACTCCCCGTTTGCATCAATAAAGCAAGCCCTCGGGAATTGTGCGAAGGGAATGGGAGACCAGGAGGGCATTCTTGCCACCCTCGACCTTTGCTTTTGGTTGATTCTCCACATTTTCAATACAGTTTCTAATTACCAGGAATATGAAGTGCAAAGAGAAGCCATCACCTTCACAACAAGGCTGGTTTGTGAGTTTCTGATGAAGGCTGAACAGGACGAGTATCCCAGGGGATATCTGCAGATAGCGCTGCATCCACAGTCAATGCCTGCCCAGGAGAGCAGTTAAGAGGCCCCACGACCTGCCCAGGGAAGAAAACAGGAAGTACTGCCAGACAAGTGGCCTCCTGTGGAAAATGGCAATACCTGGTTTTCCACATGGAGCACTTGTCATTATGACAGGCCTACAGACAGGCCATACTTCAGATAAGTTACTGTTGAATTTCTGGGGTGGGGCACAGGCCCCAGCAGTTCTGAAAGATCCTCGGGTAATTCCAGTGTGAGGCCAAGATAGCCACCGCCCAGGGGTCTCAATACGGGAAACCGATTCACCACAGCTGGCATGAAGCCCACCTGCATTTACCGTAGCCACAACCTGCCACGGGGCCACTCTCCTTGATTCCAACAGCGCAGGATTTGGGAGGCTCTCCTCTAGCCGGCTGACAGTTCTTCCCCTTCCTGTACAGTGTCCTGTGCGTCAGCACTGCCCTGGCTGCAGAGTCCCACTGCTTGTAGATCTCCGCTTACTTGTCGGCCACGCCCTGCAGCAGGTCCACAGCCCTCGCCTTTTCACATCCATCCCGAGTTGTCTTAAAGGGTCCCAGGCCCAAAATTCTGCCACAGTTACAATGAGCTTTGAGAAATGTGAGTCCTCTCACATCGCTCACCTGAATAAAGCCCCTCCAGGGGCTTCTCACTGCGCTGAATATAAAAATCACACCCCTTTTATCTTGACTGACCAGCCCCTTGGCAGTCTGACCTCTGTGCAGCTCAAGCAAGAGAGCCCCGCAGAGCCCCTGGCCAAGTTCTGGCTCTGCTGACTTTGGGCAAGTGACTGCCCCTCTCCTGGCCTCCTTTGCCTCATCTGTAAAGACAGATATGTTGTGAGGATTACATTAGTCGACAGGACACTCAAATCCTCCCCCTTACCCCATACCAGTCTCACTTAGACCCCAGCAGATGCAACACCCACTCGACCCCTTTGAACCACGATGTAAGGAGTACTTCCCTGACACCTGGCACAACTGGCTCCTTTGCACCACTCAGGAACCGATGTCATGTCCACGGAGAACTTCCCACCCCTTCCTCACCCCATTTTATTTCCTCCAAGCCTGTACTAGTTTGCTAGGGATGCCATAACAAAGTACTACGTTGGTGCAAAAGTAATTGCAGTTTACGTCCATTACTTTTGTGCCAACCTAATACCACAGTCTAGGTGGCTAAAGCGATGGAATTGTATTGTCTCACCATTCTGGAGTCTAGAAATCCACGATCAAGGTGTCAGCGGGGCTGGCTTCTGCCTCTTATCTCACTTCTGGTGGTTTCACGGCAATCTGAGGCACCCTTCACTTACAGAGGCACCGCTTTGTGTCTGCTCTCCCTGTGTGTGTGACTGTGACTGTTGTGCACAGATTTCCTCCTTTCAACAAGGACAGCAGTTGTATGGTCTAAGGTCTCATTCTACTTTAGTATGACCTCCCCACAACTAACTACACCTGTAATTATATTATTTCCATATAAGGTCACATTCTGAGGTGTGGCAGCCAGGACTCCAACATTCTAATTTGGGGGGACATGATTCAGCCCCATAACACAGCCTTTATCCCTCTCTGAAATGCACTGGTTTTATTTGTGAACCTGTCTGTTGCCTCCTCCCTCCTCACGAAACATCAGCTCCATTAAAGCAGGACCCTGACTGCCTCATTTACTGTAGCAAATGCTCCCTAAGGCTGGGCTGACACAGAGAAGATGCTTTGTATTGTTTCTTGAATGGATGAAGTAAAGCTAAAGCAACAGGCCAATTTTCTGAATAAGAATACCGAAGCGGCCGGGCACGGTGGCTCACGCCTGTAATCCCAGCACTTTGGGAGGCCGAGGAGGGTGGATCACGAGATCAAGAGATTGAGACCATCCCGGTCAACATGGTGAAACCCCGTCTCTACTAAAAATACAAAAAATTAGCTGGGCATGGTGGCGCGTGCCTGTAATCCCAGCTACTCTGGAGGCTGAGGCAGGAGAATTGCCTGAACCCAGGAGGCGGAGGTTGCGGTGAGCCGAGATCGCGCCATTGCACTCCAGCCTGGGTAACAAGAGCGAAACTCCGTCTCAAAAAGAAAAAAAGAACACTGAAGCTACAATAGTGAAGCTACTATTCAGCTATTAAAAATGATGTTTCCATAACTATTGATGTGGGAAAACATTCTTACATACTGTTAAGCAAAACAAGAAAGTTTCAAGTCAGCATAAATGGTATAATAACATTTACAAAACACACACATACATATATATGTCCATTCAAATAGGTGTGTAGTTACAGAGAAAAGGGTCTGAAAGAATATAAGGTTGTAGCTAGCTGGGTAATATTTTATTTACTCATGTGGTTTTTTGTTGTTTATATTGTCTGACTTTTCTGCAATAGATATGCTATGTTTCTGTAATAAGGAAAATAATAAAAGCCAAGCTGTTCAGGGAAAAACGAAAACAAAAACCCTCTCACTTGCAATGTGATCTGAGCATCCGTTATCTCTTATCCGAGGCTGCAAGCTCCATGAGAGCAGGGACCATGTCTTGGTATCTCTAAGCCTCAAACCATGTTTGGCACATAACAGATGTTCTTTATATGCAGACTGAGTGGAAGTAAATAGATATGTGGATTCATTTCCCCACAAGGCCTCAGCCAAAGCAGTTGTTCTAGCTAGCAACCTTCCTGGTAAACATATGGTCTATTTTCTTACAAATGCGAAAATCTTTAGAAGAAGAAAGAGGAGAGGAGGAAGGGGATATGGAAGGGAGGAATGCAGACGCTCTAGCCTGTTAAGTATCTCTGGCATGTTACCCAGCTATAGTGATATCTAAGGTGTTGTCAAGAATAAAAGCAGAGCATGAAGCAATACCGTCAAAGCCAGGAAAAAGTTAGACCAGAAAGGCTGTCACCCAACCCTGCGAACCAAACAGCCACGTTTCACCCGGTTCTTCTAATTAGTGTTTGAAAAGCCTTGAGGAGCAGACAAGTGCTGCATTAAGTGCTTAGTATTCATTAGCAATATGAGTAAATTAGGTAGGCAGGTACTTAGTGATTATGGAAACGTCCTCAGCTTGTCAGTACGGTATTTGGAATCCATGTCTGGCTATACTTCAAAAATTCTATACATTTATGAGTTTTCTAAATTTTATATAATTTTTATACATTTTCTCCAGCTTCTAGCTTCCAAAGAAAGTAGCTTCATATAATTGCACTTTCTAATTTACTAAACTTTAGAAATAACCTAACGCTGTACTTCTCAACACCCAACACCCGTTTTTATAATAAATATTTTTTCATACCTCCTTTTAGTATCCTGAAGTGAGATTATTGATAATCTACTTATATACAACGTATTTTACCATGTAAATACCCAGGCATATCCAAATGCAGATGTCAGATGCTTGCACTACGTGAAAAATCACCACATACGTGCCAGTTCCAGATGGCAGGCTGTTCCAGAGTGTGGCATGAGACATGCCATACCATGAGCGGCATTCCCATGAGGCCTTGGTTTTCTGAAAAGGTGAACAACTCCTCTGAAGTTCCAAATTAAAGACATTATCATCTTCCTTTGATTTATTCTATAGTTGTATTCCTGGAAAGTTCAATTTACTTGAATATTAAGACTATCCAAAATATCCTATGAGTTTATATGTAAAAGAGAGTGAGGTTCCAGGCTCAGATCATCGTTGCCAGGATTTTCAGCTATAGGAATGTCAAGCAAAACATCTGAAAGTTGTGTGACAATGTCCTACACATTTCACATCTCAGAGTCCCCCCAGATGCCAGGAGTACTTCCTGCCACTCCAATGTTTGAGAGTAAAACAAAAATCCCAAAACATTTTTTATTTCATTTGAGAGCCAACTGCCAAAATAACCCAGGAAGTGGCATGGCCCCTCTTGAGATTCATGGATCTAATTTTACATCCTTATGTAAAAAAAAAAAATGTAGATATCAGGCCAGAACAGTTACTCATGCCTGTAATCCCAGTACCTTGGGAGGCCAAGGCAGGTGGATCACCAGAGGTCAAGGAGTTTGAGACTAGCCTAACCAACATGGAGAAACCCTGTCTCTACTAAAAATACAAAGTTAGCCAGGTGTGGTGGTGCATGCCTGTAGTCCCAGCTACTCAGGAGGCTGAGGCAGGAGAATTGCTTGAACCCAGGAGGCGGAGGTTGTGATGAGCTGAGATAGCGCTATTGCACTCCAGCCTAGGCAACAAGAGCAAAACTCTGTCTCAAAAAAAAAAAAAATGTAGATATCATGTCCCCTCCTAATATGCCCAAGAATCATAGACCAAGTATTGGCAGAGTCAAGTAAGAGGTAGTTAGAGTTGAGATGGATGAGCACTTTCCATATGCCAGGCACAGTCTTAAACTCCTGATGGATGTCACTCATCTAATTTTCACATCGACACTAGGAAAGAGACTGCATTGCTCCATTGGACAGCTGAGACTGAAACACAGGCTTGGCTCACCCAAGACCGCAGAGCAATAAGTGGTAGAGCCCTAACTCAGACCATCCTCATCAGGATGACTGCACAACACAGTGCACCTGCCAACTGTCCTTGAGGGCTGGCGAGAAGAGCAAGGAGAGTGGAACCATGGAACCCTTCTGTGTGATGAGCACACAGGTATACCAATTCTACCAGTTCAGGACACTAACCTCCAACCATTCCTCCACGTCAAAGTTTGTTTCTTACTCAGTCTTATCTTCTGCTTTCTTGTGTTTTTCCTGCAGACATTCATGCCCAGGAGAAGGCTGCATTGGGTCCCTCTGGACCTTTCCTAAAAGGGAGATCCCTGTTCACTAGATGAGTTCCAGAACCATCCACTAAGGCTTTGTAGCCCCCTTTCATCAGCTGACCTTCACTGCAACCCCTATCGCTCAAGATGAGTGGCTTCCTTGCCTCGCTGGACCCCCGGCGGGTTCAGTGGGGGGCTGCCTGGTATGCAGTGCACTCCAGAATCCTACGCACCAAACCAGTGGAGTCCATGCTAGAGGGAACTGGGACCACCACAGCACATGGAACCAAGCTAGCCCAGGTGCTCACCACAGTGGACCTCATCTCTCTTGGCGTTGGCAGCTGTGTGGGCACTGGCATGTATGTAGTCTCTGGCCTGGTGGCCAAGGAAATGGCAGGACCTGGTGTCATTGTGTCCTTCATCATTGCAGCCGTGGCATCCATATTATCAGGTAAGTGTCGCCATGCGAGGAAGTACTGTGGAAAGTGTGCCTACCGGCCTGGTCACTGCTCCTCCCCCTTCAAGCATTTAGTGGTGAGATGGATGAAGTGGCAGAAAAGTGGATCATCATGTTCTTTTTTGCCTTGACTGCCAGGGAGGTTAGGACCAGGGTTTGGCTCGATTATAGTGGCTTTCTTTTTCTTTATTTCTTTATTTTTGGAGATGAGGTCTTGCTCTGTCACCCAGGCTGGAGTGCAGTGGCACAGTCTCGGCTCACTGCAACCTCTATTTCCTGGATTCAAGCAATTCTTCTGCCTCAGCCTCTCAAGTAGCTGGAATTATAGGCACCTGCCATCACAGCTGGCTAATTTTTGTATTTTTAGTAGAGATGAGGTTTCACCATGTTGACCAGGCTGGTCTTGAACGCCTGACCTCATAATCTGCCCACCTTGGCCTGCCAAAGTGCTGAGACTACAGGCGTGAGCCACTACACATGGCCTATTTTTTCAATACAGAGAATTATTTCTGTTCTCATACATCTCCCAGCTTCTCAGTCCCCATCATGTTTTAATGGCTCTGTTTTTATTTTAACTCTCCTTTTCAACAGAAGATAGGTCAATCCTCTTGGGGAAGAGGGGAAGGATACAGCTAAGATATAAATAATAAAGATAGGCAGAACAGCAAAATGACAAGTCAATAAATCTGATACGATTGGGATCTGACAAACCTCAAAATGGCATTGTGTCCCCCAAGGAGAAGGGAGCCAAGCCAGGAGACTTAAAGCCCTTGTGAGAATCACAATGCACCATCTGCCACAAACACCTCCACAGATTTATATTCCGCAGAGACAGGCCCACTAGCAGCTCCTTGCCTCCCCTTGAGAAAGATTCATAAAACTCATTTTTTAAAATAAGATGCCAGGACTTACATACCGATACATTGCAAAAATGGCTCTGGCTCTCCTATTGCCTTTCCTCTTCCTTCCTCTTCTCTTCAGTTGCAATCTACAGTATCTTCCCAGAATTGCTGGAGTAGGCTGATGGACAACTTGAGAAAGAAAAACCTCCTGCTTCTTGATGATTGCATTCCAAAAGCACAAGGCTTTTCTGGGTTTTAGGGTAGCAGATCATGTGGACCAACCCAGGTACTGACAGGGAATGCCTTGGTCTCTTTGAACATTTCAGGAGAAGTAGGAATTCTAACTTCTATTGGGAATTCTGTGTACCAATGCATGCCATCGTAAGAAAAGCACTATATTATTAATATCATACATATAGATTAAATAGTCTTCATGTAGGACACAAAGATAAACTATAAACACACAATCAGAAAGTGTGAGGACTGTATTTAATGTCTCTTTAATCTGATGAGGAAAATAAGCTGAGTTTATTAACCTCCTGCCATGTCTTCTCTTTCCTGTTGATTTTACCATTTATTCCCTTCTCCTTAAGTCACCCTCTTATGAGCATGAATATCCTAATAGTTGAGGTTTCTTCAGAATAGAGGGGTTTTCTCTCTTATAGATGAAAATAAATTATTCACATAGATGAACTTTAGGAATACTTGCAGTTCTATTTATGTGATAGAAATTATCTCCAAACTTTTTTGACAAAGCAATTGACTCACCATGAGTTTCTAGGTCTAAACGTGTTATGTGGAACAGAATGTTAATAGTAGAACAAAATGCAGCCATATAACCAGAGGGTTCTATAGAAGGCACAGAGCCGACGCCTGAGGTTAATGAAGACCACACAGTTTTCTCAAGATCTCATCCTATTTTGACCCAGGCTCCCAGACCACAGTGATTTTTGTGAGTGAAGTACTTGTGTGGTATTCTTCACAGGATACATTACACCCGGAAACCAGAGCCTGTCCTCTGCCCCACCACAGTGCTCAGGGCCAATGTGTAATCTAGACTTTTCCACTGCTCACATGGAGAGCCTGAGATTGGCCCAGACTGTCTTATGCCGGAGCAGCTCACACCACTGCCAAGAGCATTGATTGTGCATACCTGTTTCCAGCTTTACACTCGGTGACGTCATGTTGTTAACTTGGAATCAGCCATGGTGGAACTATGTGTTTGTTGTTTTTACTGTTGCTCAGAGTCAGTTGTTAAGCCTTTACCAGCACATCACTAGCCCACCTCCACTGAAGACCCTGGTCCTGCCCAGGAACTGAGGCCTTCACCACAGCACCAAGCACAAGAAGAAAAAACCCTACCCCTCCCCAAAACAGGACTCCCCCTCTCCACATATGGCCCCATCCATAACATTTCTCTATACTTTATGACTGACTCATCTAACCATTGAGGCCATTTAGAATCCTCCTAGAGTCCCTAGCCTGGGCCTGGACAAAAATATTATAACGTGTGCCAATGTTCACATATTTACAGCAGGTTTATTCAAGCAGGCCCCTCCCTATGTGATTGTTGGTCACTAAACTGAAGGAAGTGCCCCTCAGCGCCTTCCTTCTACTTTCATATCGTCATCCCCACGTCGCCTCACCTTTGACAAAACTTCCCACTGCCTCTCCATTCCACAATAATCAAACTCCCCACTCCCCTATATTTTCATCCTTTCTAATACATGCTCCTTTTCTCCTTCTGGGTTTTTTTTTTTTTTTTTTTTGGAGACTGAGTTTTGCTCTTGTTACCCAGGCTGGAGTGCAATGGCGCGATCTCAGCTCACCACAACCTCCGCCTCCTGGGTTCAGGCAATTCTCCTGCCTCAGCCTCCCGAGTAGCTGGGATTACAGGCACGCGCCACCATGCCCAGCTAATTTTTTGTATTTTTAGTAGAGACAGGGTTTCACCGTGTTGACCAGGATGGTCTTGATCTCTTGACCTCATGATCCATCCTCCTCGGCCTCCCAAAGTGCCGGGATTACAGGCTTGAGCCACCGCGCCCGGCCTCTCCTTCTGGTCTTAATTAAAACCTGGCTCACCTGAGGGTGAGTCCAGTCTCCACAATTGTGCATTTATCTTCAGCAATAATTGCTGCTTAGTTGCAAGAATGAAGTAAAGAGAAAATTGGGATTAACTTAGATTTAGCTTTTTCCAAGCAGAGGGAGAAAAAAGTAATGGGGTTAAGGGTATTTTCAAAGGAAGAGTAAACTGTGCTGACTCACATAATCTGGGCCGAATACCAAGGGAAGTGAAGACACAAGAGTGACGACTCATGAAAAGTGGTAGAATCGGTAGAAACTGGAGGTGTCAATGAGGTCAAGATATCATTGCAATTAAAATGCTGGGACAGAGAGATGGAAAGCTAGGAAGTGATAGAGTGAGATGTTTGAGATATAGATTTCAGAAGTAGTATAGCAATCAATAACATTCAGTTTAGACTTGAAACCTGGCTCAGCCATTGACTAGCTGTGAGACCTTGAGCAAGTTCCATAATTTCTCTGAACTTCAGTTTCTCCACTTTAAAAACAATAATACCTACCTCACAGCGTTGCTGCCAAGACTAAAGACAATACATGTTAATTGCCTGGTACATTGCCAAGCACATAGCTCTAAATACGTAGTTAGTATTATTTTGTGCCAAACTCTGAATCAGGTGCTTTCCAGAGAGTGTGACCCTCAAAACTCTTCATCAGCCGGACAATCCAAGATGGCCAACCACTAACAGCTCAGGATTGTAGCTCCCAGTGAAAGCTCAGAGAATGAGATGACACCACAATTTTAGACGAATTTTCATCACTCACCGATTAGCCAATTCCCAGCGGAGGAGCCCCACGGGTCGCCAGCGCGACTCTTGTGGCCACCGCAGTGGTTTTGCCGGCGTCTCGGCGCAGCAGCTCTTCATGCAGAGCACACAGGACTGCTTCCCCTACTGACCGGAGTTTGGAGCTCTGGGAAGTCAGAGCCGCTTGTTGCAGACTCAAGAGGGAAGCCAGACCAGAGATTCCCGGGCAGAAGAGCACCATCAGTCTTATCGCTGCTATTTAGGCCGCCACAGTGGGTGGCTAGGATCCCAGCACTGGGAATCAATAAGTCAGACTTCGACTCAGAAACCTAATTAGAAAGGTGGTTCATCTACAATGAAGGGGAAAAAACAGCCTAAGAAGGCCGAGTGTACTCAAAATCAGAACCCATCAGCAACGGAACAAGCCCTGATGGAAAAGGACTCATCAGCAATGGAACAAGCCCTGATGGAAAAGGACTCATCAGCAACCGAACAAGCCCTGATGGAAAAGGACTCATCAGTAACAGAATAAGCCCTGATGGAAAAGGACTGTGTTCCATTATCTGAAGTAGGCTTTAAAAGGTGGATGATAAGAAACTTCTGGGAGTTAAAGGAACTTGTTCTAACCCAATGTAAAAAATCTAAGAACTTGGAAAAAAGGTTAGATGAAATGTTGAAAAGAATAGACAATATAGAGAGGAATACAAATGAACTTATGGAGTTGAAAAATACAACACGAGAACTTAGTGAAATATGTACAAGCTTAAACAGCTGAATGGATCAAGCAGAAGAAAGGGTATCAGAGTTCGAAGACCAACTTAATGAAACAAAACGACAAGACAAGAATAGAGAAAAAAGGATAAAAAGGAATGAGCAAAGTCTCCAAGCAATATGGGACTGTGTGAAAAGACCTAATATACTTTTAGGCTTGATTGGTGTACCTGAATGTGACGGAGAGAATGAATTCAAGCTGGAAAATACTCTCCAGGACATTATCCAGGAAAATTTTCCTAATTTAGCAAAGCAGGAATTGCCTGTTCAACCCCAGGCAATACAGAGAACACCACAAAGATATTCCTCAAGAAGACCAACCCCAAGGCACATAATCGTTAGATTCACCAAGATCGAAACGAAGGAGAAAATATTAAGGGCAGCCAGAGAGAAAGATCAAGTTACCCATAAAGGTAAGCCTATTAGGCTTACAGCAGATCTCTCAATGGAAACCCTACAAGCTAGAAGAGAGTGGGGGCCAATATTCAATATATTTAATCAACAGAACTTTCAGCCCAGAATTTCATATCCTGCCAATTTAAGCTTTACATTT